ATACGTCCCTACTGAAGGGCTCGGAGCCTACCCTAAGTTAAGGGTGATTAGGACATAGTCAACCATAGGCCAAGTGCAGTGACTTCACACATATATTTGAATTTCTTCTCAGATATGTGCAGCATCACGATATTTTCCTTCATCGTAACATCGGATAAATGTATGTAAATCGGAAATGGAAAACACATTGGTACATGGCGGGATTCGAACCCAGGACCTGTAGAGCAAGTCAACTTGACTCCTCAGCCACCAATGCTGTTTACATCTCTTATATAACATCTAAAGTCAAGGTAAAGTTAATACATAAACTTTGGCAAGTATGGTTCAAATATGTCAAACTGTCAAACAATACGTCAATATTCTTGTTTTTAGGACTAACAATAGATTTACGTCAATTGTTTTTCATAAGTAAACGTAACCAATTGCTCATAAGGGAACGTACCCATACTACGTAACCCGTTTAGGGGGGGGGCGCAGATTTTAGTCACGTAGTCGTTAGTTGTTTTTTTTCAAAATACATAATTCACTAGTAATTTAAGAATGCATGCAGTCTTATGCTATAAAGAAGAGTATGAGCCAAATTATTTCTTTTTTAATTTTTACCTGCGAAATGATTAAAAATCATAATAATGAATTATTACGTGAAAACTAAAGGGAGGGGGGGGGTGTCTTGGCATGTATTACGAGTGGTCACCGAGGGGAGGGAGGGATCGAGAAAACTAAAAAAATACTTAGTATGGGTATGTTCCCTAACTTGTATTGTAGTGGGTTTCTAATACTTAAATCTGCATTTAAAATATATTATTATATCAGTACTGTCAACGATAATGACAGGGATGCCGATATGTTTTATACAGTCTCAGAAAACCACGGTAATGGCTATGTGGAGTACATAATATTATGTTTAATAAAAAAAACACTAATTATTGCCCATTAGGACAAAGACAACCAATAACCTTACTAATATTATAAATGCGAATGTTTAGAACAGTGGTTCCCAAACTTATTTTGTCTGCTGCCCACTTTGAGAATAAATATTTTTTTTAGCGCCCCCATATTTTCACATATTTAAAAACCACTCTAACTTCAAATTAATTAATTACTGTGACCTATATATGTATATTAACGGAGAATTGTAAAGGAAACTTTTACTATAACCCGCAACTTGAGACCTGCAACGCCCACAAGGGGGCGTTATCGCACACTTTGGGAACGATTGGTTTAGATTATGTTTGAAGGTATCTCCAGAACGTCTGAACGGATCTCGATGAAATTTGGCATACATATAAAACATAGTCTGGAAGAACATATAGGCTACTAAGTTTTTTATTTAATTTAGTATAATATATGAATAAATCAGTGTTTATTTGTATTACAAATTGCAATACACCATATTATTACTATGTGACATATTTATTTTTTACGACATAAATATAATTTGTTAAAAAGTAAATATTTTCCAAGACACACCTCCTTAGCAAAGAATTACACTAATTTTTCACACAAACATGTATAACACAATAGTTTTCAGCCATTTACAGAGATGTTGCCTATAAAGACAGATTTACACGGAATCAATTACTGACTACGGATTCAATACAAGCGTTGACCCGAAAAAAAAATATTGATTTGAAGTCAGTACAGTCAGCTGCATTAATATTTACAAAAAAATAAATTAACAGTAGTAGAGCCTTAACATCTTCGCACGAATTGACTCGGCTCGCCCGGTGAAATACCACGACCACACAGAAGACAGGCGTCAAGTGGAAGCTATTCCGCGTACAGTAATGATGAGTGTGCGTCCCGTAGGCCTAATTTAGTCCACTTTCCCTTCCCACCCTTTTTCTTACAAGGAAAGGATGGGAAGTAGAAATTGACTTTCCGGATGATAGGATGCATGGAAAGTAAAAATATTTTCTTTCTGTGCATCCTCTCCGCCGATTAGTAGGCAACGCATTTGCAATTGCGTATGTCTATGGGCAACGGTCGCTTTGTTATTTCAGCGATTTCAGGTGGCCGCTCGCTCGTTTGCCACCTTATGATATAAAGCTCCATTGTTACAACGACATTGACTTGTCTACTGACCCTGTGTTAAACAATCTTTATTTCTTCAATAGAAGCAATATACAATATTCAGTGGAACACCACGGTTATAATAGTACAATCTTTATATGACATACAAATATTTATTCACATAAAAGTCAACGAATGACGTAAAATTATAAATGAACATATTTATTTTACAAACTGACAAATCCGTACCAGTCCAATGACCTCGTAAAATCGCGTATTGATAATGGTTAGCGAAGGACATATTTCCTACAAGACAAAAAGTTACATTTTTTTATATCATAAGGTGGCAAATGAGCGAGCGGCCACCTGAAATCGTTAAAATAGCAAAGTAACCGTTGCCCATAGATATACGCAATTGCATATGCGTTGACTACCTTTAATCGACGGAGGAGAGGATGCACAGAAAGAAAATATTTTACTTTTCCATGCATTGGTCCGGAAAGTCCACTTCCAGTTACCATCCTTTCCTTATAAGAAAAAGGGTGGGAAGGGAAAGAAGAGTAAATTAGGCCACCGGGAAGAAACGCGTAATTACTTCCACTTCATGCCTGTCTTCTGTGTGGTCGTAAAATTTAACCGGTAGAGTCAGGGCAATTCGTGCAGAGATGTTAAAGCGAGCTCTACCACTGTTAAAGATTAAATATCTTAAGAAATATCATAAGAGATGTAACTCTTTATGTTGGATAACTATTGGGTAAGAGACATCATCAGCTAAGTACAGGTCCCCACTAAGGGGATCGGAGCCTACCCTAAGTTAATGGCCCAGTGCAGTGACTTCACACATATCTTTGAACATCACAGATATAGGCATGTTGCATCACGATGTTTTCCTTCACCGTAAGAACGTCGGATAAATGTACATATGTAAATCGGAAATGGAAAAACACATTAGTACATGGCGGTATTCGAACTCAATAGTTGCAGATTACTAGTCAAGTGCTTAACCCCTGAGCCACCGACGCTCTAAGAGAGACAAGCTAAAAGGAACAAACGCTATTATAATCTTGTCGACAATATTATTAATAGAAACTGGGTTTAAAGGCAACAACGTATAATACGTATTTATACCAAGAGATGGCGCTTTTATAAAAATTTAAAGTGACATATAGGAGGCGCCACTGTAATTAAAATACTATTTCGTACTAAAAAATGTGCTCATTAAGTCTCGACTGTACTTATAAAACAAAATTAAACGTAAATGAACATAGCTTTAAAAGTTTTGTATACGACTGTACTTTTTATCTTAAAACGTACATAATTTTACCACTTGACTGTTTTTAAACGTCATAGAATCGTAATAACCACAAATGGGAAGTACTAGGATGTCATAGACAATTGTCCTTACGAGACAAATACATAAGGATAATAATAAGATTTACTAAGGATGTTTTCAATATTATTGGGATTTTGTACTTACGTAAAATTATTTAATGACGTACAGGATGTTTGTTATGTAATAAAGGTGTTTTCAATAGGCCCAATTGACAATAATATTCCCCCCAAACATCCCGTAAATAAATCTTATTATTATCTTATGAGAGCGTCAGTGGTTCAGGGTGTTTAAAGCACTTGACTTGTAATCTTCAGGTCTTGGGTTTGAATCCCGCCATGTATCAATGTGTTTTTCAATCTTCGATTTACATATGTACATTTATCCGACGTTCTTACGGTGAAGGAAAACATCATGATGCTGCACATATCTGAGAAGAAATTAAAAGATATGTGTGAAGTCAACCAACCAGCACTTGGACAGCGTGGTTGACTATGGCCAAATCACCCTTAACTTAGGGTAGGCTCCGAACCCCTCGGTGGGGACGTACAGTGAGCTGATGATGATGAATTCTTACTAATTTTCGAGAATTTTAAGGACAACTAGTCTATAAATATAAATAAAATCCAATTTAAAATGTTGTCTTTATGTAATAACGAAATTTTAAATTTATGTCTCTCTATTTTCCCACAAGGCAATTGTTACGGGAAAATCGCGGGAACAGGAGCGATGTCGACGATTTTAGGCTATTTCTTTCCGCACATACAAAACCTTTCGATCATTAGGTTTTTAAATAACACGAGCATGACTGATTTCTATCACGCTGTTAGGTCAAGGGGTCGGCAGTGTTAATCATGAATGATAGTTGATATCTGAAACATGAATATTAATAACTTTGACCTAGCTAACTGCGTAGAAACGGAAGAATTTGTTTATCGTACTTTGAACAAGCGATACGCGTATGCTAAAGCAAACTGGAATGACAACGTAAAGGATGTACCACACTGATGTACGAAAACGTAACGAAATCGTAGCGAAAACGCAACACAATTTCATGCTACATATTCGAGTCGTTATTAAGATTGCCTCAAGGATAACTAGGCGATACAATCCGTGGTGTAATTTTGCAGCTAGTTAGCTGTCACACGAGTCCAACCGCAATGAATTTAAAAAAAAACAACTTAATTACTAGCCTATGTGTTGTTCCAGACTATGTTCTATATCCATGCAAAATTTCAGAGAGATCCATGCACCCGTGCTGGAGATATCTTCAAACAAACATCCATCCATCCAAACATTCCCATTTATAATATTTGTTAGGTGTTGTTGATTCGAAGTCCATGGACATCCACAACACCAGAGAAACTAATTGCTAGCTGGCCTCTTTTCTTGAACGACGCTAAGTCCTATTTGGAAATAATGAAGAATAGAGTATTCCACACCGAAACTATTCCAGGTAGAAAGTAAAACGCATTAGAAGGGGAAATATCTTTCTGTCGGTTCCCTCTCCTGCAGGCGGTCACTTCGCTTTTGCAAATTCAGGAGACTTTAAATTATTAACGCGGAATTATTATATTTCTACCTTTCTTTCCTTCTACAGGATAATGAGGTAAATTACGACGACACATACTAGTATAGGATAGGAAAAGGATCTTACAAAATGAAGGATACATCCAATGCTTGCTGTCCTGCTCAGTCTCCAAGGGTGGGAAGGAGAGAGCAGACCTGTAAGGAGAGGATTAATGAAGGATATGGAAACAGTAGGACCCGGACAAATAGGAGTCTAAGGGACGGTTTCTCTCTAACCCAAGTTTCTCGCTTATACGGTTCACTCGTACGACTTTATTATTAGTAGCTTTAATTAAAATTGAAACTATGATTTAATATTATTCAAATAACCTAATAATATACCACATTTAACATAAACTAGCTGTTGCACGCAACTCCGTCCGCGCTGAATTCAAAAGAAGTTAAATAAGTAGCCTATATGTTCTTCCAGACTTCTACATCTATGTAAAATTTCAGCGGATCTGTTCAGCCGTTCTGGAGATACCTTCAAACAAACATCCATCCATGCAAACATTCGCATTTATAATATTAGTCAGATAGTAAGATAACACATTTAGGTTTTCATAATGACCAATTGCGTTCACGCACCGCTCTTGTGGCATCTCTCTAAATGTTCAAATATTGTTCATCTACTCGGTAATAGGCATAGCGAATAAACGGCAGACGCGAATTACCAAGATCAACTGTCAAGATTCACTCCGCCATGTTGAAAAACAGGTAACGAGGGATCAGACAGATAGAAATGACGACGCGTGCATGTACGAAACTCTATTACGTTGTATAGGTTTTGCCCGGGACTCCGTCGGCGCTGTATTAAACACAAACTAAAAAACCTATGTGTTCTTCCATGCTATGTTCTACATCTATGCCAAATTTCAGCGAGATCCGTGCAGCCGTTTCGGTGATTCGCATTTATAATATTAGTAAGATTACTAAGTTCCAAAGCGACTAAAATCTTCAGGTCTCCAAGATTTAAGTTGCCGTGTGTAGAAAAATGACGTCGGTGGCTCAGTGGTCAAGCACGTGACTTGCAATCTGCAGGTCCTGGGTTCGAATCCCGCCATGTACCAATGTGTTATTCCATTTCCGATTTACATATGTACATTTATTCGACGTTCTTACGGTGAAAGAAAACATCGTGATGCAACCTGCACATATCTGAGAAGAAATTCAATGATATGTGTGAAGTCAACCAAACCGCACTTGGCCAGCGTGGTTGACTATGGCCTAATCACCCTTAACTTAGGGTAGGCTCCCAGCCCCTCGGCGGGGACGTATAGTGAGCTGATGATGTGTAGAAAATGCCTTACATATATGTCATAGCCGTTTCTATTATAGATAAGTTCACAACACTTATCTTGGTTATTAAAATCAATGTTATCTTTTAATCCAAACCCCTACATATAATACTATCAGAGAACTGATATAATTTATCTGAGTAACATAATTGGAATGTTTTATATCTGACTGTATATCTGTGCCAATATTTCGCATACTACAGCAACGTTATCTAACCAGAGGGCCTAGTACGAATATTTGCGACACGCGGCCTTCGTAACATGACATGATACGTCAAATTTTGTACGAGTTTTGATGGTGTAATTATTACATGCTAGCTGTCGTCCACAATTAATAAGTAGCCTATGTGTTCTTCCAGACTATGTTCTATATGTATGGCAAATTAAATTAAAATCCATTCAGCCGTTCCGGAGATATCTTCAAACAACCATCCATTCAAACATTCGCATTTATAATAATACTAGCGGACCCGACAGACGTTGTCCTGTCTACACGTCTTTAATTTGAATATATTAATATGAAGTTAATATTTGATGAAAATTGTGAATCTAAACCATTCCCCGATCCCCTTGAACACACACAAAAAATTTCATCAAAATCGCTCCAGTCGTTTGAGATAAGTTCAGTGACATACACACTCACAGAAGAATTATATATATAAAGACTAGCTGTCATCCGCGCCTCCGTCCGCGCAGAATTAAAAAATAAATTCCAGCTTGATACCTTCACGCGTTTTTGAAAAAAATAATCTTGACAGACAGACGGAAGGTCAACAAAGTGATCCTATAAGGATTCCGTTTTTTCCTTTCGAGCTACGGAACCCTAAAAACATAATTGTTAGCCTATGTATTCTTCCAAACTATGACATGTGTGCCAAATTACATTAAAATCCGATGAGCCGTTCTGGATATAAACATTCATATTAGTAAGACTAATAATAAAAAATCACTCACCTAACACCATCCCTGGACGAATCCACAATGCGTTTATAATAAATATCCAGATTTATTTGTAGCCAGTACTATAGATATGACACCGTCACCGCCTTTCCATACTTTATTGTCCTGAAACAAACATTACAATGAGTATTTATAGTCCAGTTGTAGAAATATTGTTGTACATGCATCTCTAAAGTTTGAACCTCTATATGTTGAAAAAAAGAAGACCTTGAACTCAAACAAAATGTTTTTCTTTATATTATAAGGTGGCAAACAACCAAGCACTTGAAATTGCTGAAAGCGGCCATTGCCCATAGACATTTGCATGCATATGCATTGCCTACCTTTAATCTACAGAGGGGATGCACAGAAAGAATATTTTCCCTTTGAATGCATCCTCTCATCCGGAACATCCACTTCCCATTCTTTCTTTATAAGAAAAAGAGTAGGAAGGGAAAGAGGACTACAAGGTCTCCGACACACACACTCATCAGACTGTACTTGGAATCGCTTCCACTTGAGGCATGTCTTCTGTGTGGTTGTGGTATTACACCGGGCGAATCGGCTAATTCGAATATTATAGCGGGCTCCACACCTGTATGAATCTTCCCTACAACAATTTAAGTACAAAGCATTTCCTGCTCCTATTATGTCATTTTACATTAAGTCTTATTAAAAATAAACTCATTTTAATATCTGTAACAACCAGTTTCCTTTTGTTGGTGCATGGAAATAGAAACTCTTTTAAAATTCAAATTAACACAATCAAGATATTCTTACAAGAGTTAAAATTAACATTTGAATGTAAAGTTATATTTTTAGAAGGAAGCTTAGTGGGACTCCTTTCAGATTCTTCAAAATATATATTTCTAGTCTCTTAAAAGTATGGGGCAAATTATTACATAGCCTAGTATTTATTTATTTAAGCTTTGTATATAATAGAACAGATGTTGCATGGGGCTGAAAAGTCCTTTAGCCACAGACAGGTTGACACAGTGTGGGCAGGCTTACCGCAAGTGGATGCGGGCATCCTAGATAGGGCTAACACACAACAGATCATGATGGCAATCTTTGGGGGATGCCTTGCCCAGCAGTATGCAGTGATACCCATATTACCATTGTTAGAATACTCTAAAATCAGTCTTATTCCCAGGACATAGAACTACAGTCTTGGACAAGCAAGAAATCTCTGTAAGAGAGTCATCATCCACTCATGAGAGACAAACTCTATAGGCGAGAAACTTTGGTTAGAGAGTAACCTCTATGAGCGAGAAAATTATTGCTGTCCTTTGGACTGTCGCTAATCCAGATTCAACGGTATAATAGTTTCGTTATTTGTATGTACTATATTTAAATATACAATATATGTTATACAAGTAATGTTAACTTACAAATAACAGTACGATTTATAATAAAATATGAATTTATTAATATTTAATTTCTCGTAATATGAAATAATACTAACCTATATAGATTTCGTGCCTAACCACATAGATTGCAAACGTAACGTGAAGACCATGAAATGTATGTGTTTATGTTGCAATCAAGATTATACTGATTAAACGTAAACAGGTCTAGAGTACAATGATACCGTAGTGCAAATACGCACACACGTCTTTTCATAATTGCTTGCAAAAAGTGGGACAAAACCGTACCTACAACCTAGATCTCTATCTCCGTAAAAACTAAACTTAAATTAGGATAATTAGTAAAATTAACTTACCAATAGTAGTCTCAAAGGCACTAAATGATCAATTTCAATTAATAAATATAAATAGTTGAAAATATACGATATATTGTGGCGTGACACCGGGCAGCTCACATTTGTGTAAAAATTGCACAGATTATATTTTGAAATTGAACTTGAAAATAAATGTCAAGTAAAAACGCGTTCGGAATCATACGGATGAAATTATCCCTGATTGTTATTTAACCGCGTTTGATTGATATTCTTTATTTTTATTAAGTTTCAAAGATCTCTCTCGAATAAAATAATAGTAAATGATACATAATTTGTCAGTAGAAACGTAGAAACCTTTTTTCAGTTGCACTTTAGTTGACATTTCCTTTCTTTGCATACATTGTCTGTGATCAAATCACGTTTATTTGTTTATCCTGTAATTTTATAATTCCTAAACGTCAAAATCTGTTCGAGACATCGAGTATTGTGTACTTTTTATTTAGTTTTCTTTTAATTTTAAATGAGAAACCAGTAATCGGGCGTTGAATAAAAGAATTGATTAAATACTAAAAGACCCACAATGGGTTTACCGAATACGCAAATACCGCGCGACAAGCTTCCGGAATGCTGGTCAGACGATGTTCGTATGAACGCATTATTTGCGCCGTTCAGGATCAAAACTGCTAACCCAGAATCTTGGGACATGAAGATGAAGTTCTGGTCCGAGATGGTGCGGCAATATTGTCGTCATAGGACAGATCCTGTTATCTCTGCAGCAGACATTAAGTTTGCTTTTCAAAGGAAAGGCCGTACTCCAGCCTGTATTGATATTGTTATTGAAGAGATGTATAGGTAGGTTCCTTCAATATGTAGATAAATTTAAACGTGAATTGTTCGCTAAGGAAGTAATACGTCTTTTTTACTTATACATTAACAGTTATAGAATGTATACATTAACCTTGAGATTATAATTTGTCGTGTTGATTTTGAATTTGCGCCAGATTCTTCCATTCTTTGTTTACTACGTTGCAACATATTTATTGATTTTACGAATACTGCAAATTGTTATGTCATTGTGGTGTTATTTAATATACAGAACTAGATTAGCTATAGAACGCGACTTTGTTTACGTAAAAAAATAAAACTGAGGGAGTAGCCTCAGACTGCAAACTATTTTTTTTTAAAGTTACTCATTTTATCTTCACTAATTATACAAATCAAGTTCGTCATAATGATAGGATGAGATTCTTTACATAAAAAATACGTAAATTTGTGATATACTTAAATGATAATTGTAAAATATCGTAACATATGTTTTTTAACCATAACAACTAGGGTTGCCATGTCCCAAAACCTAATAGCCAGACATGCAAACTAATTCGGTCAGACATTTGGGTAGAATACCTTACACCCTAGATGCGACCTTCAGTTGACTTTTGTCTCCTGCACTCGGGCAGTATGCAAAAAACAAGCCTAACAAAAGCCAGACAACCCAGACATGCAATTAAAAATCCTAAGTCCATCTTTATCTGGATGCCTGGTAATTCACAACTATAATCTCAAACATCTCAAAACCCGGCAACACATCTGAGATTCCGCTGTACTGCTCGTTTGTCATCTCGTCTTATAAAGAAAAAAACTATAAGGCTGATGTTTCCTTTTGATAATTTTCAGAAATGGTGAACTCTCACCTATATCTAAATATCTTCAAATACTGCACAACGGTCCTGAAGGCTGGGCGATGTGGGGCGCTAGGATAGCATTCAAGCCAGCCGTGCTAGCTGTCTCTACAGTACTATCGTTATTACCAAGCAGACCTCAACTGGATAGCGATGGACTGCCAAAAGCGAGTATAGAATCGACACAGAGATTTATACTAGAAAGTGCTGTGAAGGTAATTTTTCTTTAATTTAAATTGAAGCAAAACTGATATATAAACACGGCTAAACACTCACTTATATACATCCGGTGGCGGCACCGACTAGTTTCGAGCCCATCGGGGACCCTTCATCAGGATAATAATCCGTAATATAATAATCCGAATGGCGGTATTCGAACTTCCACCAACTGATAGGAAATCCGTCTCCTTAACAATTAGGCTATTAGCGCTTCAAGTAAGTACTTAATATTGTGATAAAAAAAGTTACCATGGTAGGGATATGTAGAGAGATGATGGACACATAAACAAGTAATATATAAGATTGTAGGTTGCTACAGTAATAGAGAAAGATAGAAGAATGTATGTATGGATTGTAAGATGGGAGTCAATTCAGATATGATTGATAGTAATGTATGTAGGATAACTGTACTGACACTATGTATGCATAAGGAATATTAGCTTACCGTGGGTTTTTGATACCAATATCCTTGTTTAAAACATATTGTCATCCCAGTTATCTTTGTTAAAACTGTGTTAATATGTTTTGAAAAGACATTTTGATCTTAGAAACTCACAGTTATTTGATTATTTAATTTATTTATTTATGTTAAACTTAGAAAATTTAAGCTTATAAAAAACCAAAAATTAGTAAAGTAACGTATATAAAAATAGATTTCGGCCGAGACTCATACATATAGAACATAGTCTGGAATAACACATTGACTACTATTTTTTTTAATTCGCCCAGACGGAGTCGTGAGCAACAACTAGTAATGAATAATATTGTTTTTCAGGAACAAGCAACACAGTTTTTAGATAATTTTCCACCAGGCGAGCAAAGACTGGGAACAATAGATGAATTAATGAAAATCACACAATGGGCTGGCAATAGAGAGACATTGGAGATATTACTAGGCTATCTTGTGTCACAAGGGGCTGCGGTTAAAAAAGGAGATGTTGTTAAATTAGGTAAGGAAAAGTACTACTAAAGCATCACTAACTGTGGGTTTCTGAGGATGATATGTTTTATATAGGATTTTAGTGTCAGAAACCCACAATAAGTCCCTTAGCACCAAGATAGTGGTGAGAAAAGTTGCTCCTATTTTACCGACAGAATAGACGACTCGGGTTAAATCTTTTGATGAAAAAAAAACTAGACTAGCCTATGTGCTATTTGAGACTGTACTTAAAGTTTGTTTTATATTTCATCCAGATGTGTTGTCATATTACAATAATATGTCTTATATTAATGAAACCTCTATGAGCGAGAAATATGGGTTAGCGAGAACCCTTTATAAGCGAGAAATCACATTCCCTTGGACTCTCGCTTATTCTGGTTCCAAATATATTCAGTAATTCTCTACCGTGTAATGTTTACCCATACATTTTGATATATAAACGAGCAGCCCCTGCAATCGCTGAAGTCTTGGCCATAGACATACCCAATTGCATGCGTTGCCTGCCTTTAATCGACTGAGGTGATGCACAGAAAGAGAATATTTTACCTTCCCATGCATCCCCTCATCTGTAAAATCCACTTTCACTTTCCATCCTTTACAAAAAAAAAGGGTGGGAAGGTAAAGAGGAGTAAAATTATTTCTCTGGGATGCACACTCATCAGAGTGTAGTTGGAATTCCACTTGAGGCGTGTCTTCTGTGTGGTTGTGGTATTGCACCGGGCGAGCCGATTCGTGCAAAGATCTTAAAGCGGGCTTATACCACTGTTAAAATTAACAATAATAATTCTGTACAGCTAAAATTACTTTTCTTAACAATTTTTCAGCGGAACCCAATAAGAAAGCTGCAGCTGTCACTGAGACTGATGAAGCCCTGGTTAAATTAACATCAGCGGAGACAAGACTGGAGGCTGATATGGAGAGACTTACAAAAGAATTGAACTCAGCAGATGCAGATGCAAGAGCAGCACTTAAATTGGGCAATAGACTTGCTGTGAGTTGTTTGAAACTAATTGTCAACCGCGACTCCGTCTGTACTGTGTTAAAAAACTTAATTAGTAGCCTATGTGTTCTTCCAGACTATGTTCTATATGTCAAATTTCATCGAAATCTGTTCAGCCGTTCTGGAGATATCGTCAAACATTTAAACATTCGCATTTATATTAGTAAGACTAGTTGTTGCTTGCGACTTTGTTAGTGCAGATTAAAAAGTAAGCTTAGTTAAATTCAGTTCAGCCGTTTTATAGATTAGCAAGAACAATCACGGACTTGTGAACAAACAGACAGAAGAATAATAATTTTTCGTTATTAATATTACAAATTACATACAGACATTTCAATTTTGGTAATTTTATTAATTGTTAGCCGTCCGCGCGGAGTAAACAACTTATTAAGTAGCCTATGTGTTCTTCCAGACTATGTTTGTCAAATTTCATCAAAATCCATTAAACAGTTCCGATATCTTCAAACAAACATCCATCTAAACCAGCATTTATAATATTAATAAGATTACTTGCTGATGAAGTCACGGGCAACCGCTAGATTATTAAACCATCCACGCAGAATTAAAAACAAACATAATTACTAGCCTGTGTTCTTCCAGACTATGTTCTATATGTCAAATTTCATCACAATCCATAGAACCGTTCCAATACTCGACGAACTCTTATCTCTTCTTCTCTGATTCTCACTCTCTCTCTCTCTCTCTTCTTTTATATGCAACATAAAGAACTATCCATTGTATTGTAGGCAAAGAACCATCTACGTCGCAAACATAAGATATCAACACGAGCTCAACGCTGCGATGCGGCACTTGAGAATGTCAGACATCTCCTACATCAGATGCGAGAAGTTGACTCCAACGCTGCTATCGTTGATACATATAGGTATGTTATATATAATCTAGATATCTAGAAATCTAGAATTAAAATACTAAATGAAATTACCTATGGCTGTAAATTTTTACCATTTACCTAAAGAAGTCATAAATTTTTATTGCGTCCCGGAGGCCTAATTTAGTCTTCCTTCCCTTCCCATACTTTGTCTTATAAAGATGGGAAGTGAAAGTGGACTTTCCGGATGAGAGGATGCATTGGAAGGGAATATATTTTCTATCTGTGCATCCTCTTCTCCGTCAATGAAAGGTAGGTAACGCATATGCAATCGCGTATGTCTATGGGCAACGGTCACTTCGCTATTTCAGCTATATCAGTTGGCGGCTGGCTCGTTTGCCACCTTATGATATAAAAAAAAATCTTTTATCTTTCTATTTATGTATACAAAATAAGATTACTTTCTTGTCTTTGTCTATAATTTTGACTTAATTCTTTCAGAACAAGTTCCCAAGCTATGAAGCGTACGATGAAAGAGGGTGGACTGGAAGAGGACTCCGTCTTTGATACTATGGATGAATTAAAAGATGTAAGTAGGATTATGTGATAATAGTTAATGATAATAGATAATAGCCTGTGATTCCGTCTGTGTAGATTAAAACATAATAAGTAGTCTATGTGTTCTTCCAGATTATGTTCTATATGTATGACAAATTTCATCAAGATCCGTTCAGCTGTTCCGGAGATATCTTCTAACAAACATCCATCCAAACATTTACAATTATAATATTAGTAAGAAGTAAGATAGAGCGTCGGTGGCTCAGTGGTCAAGCACTTGACTTGCAATCTGCAGGTCCTGGGTTCGAATCCCGCCATGTACCAATGTGTTTTTCCATTTTCGATTTACATACATTTATCTAACTTACGGTGAAGGAAAACATCGTGATGCTGCACATATCTGAGAATAAATTCAATGATATGTGTGAAGTCACTGCACTTGATCAGCGTGGTTGACACATGCCCCACGGTGGGGACGTATAGTGAGCTGATGATGATGGTATTGTGGTCTCATCACAGATAATAAAAGCCATGGTAATATCTATAAAGTTATATAAGGGTAGGTAATTTATTACTTCAACTGTATTCCCAGGTATTAGAAACATACAATGAAGTAGAGAAAGCATTAGGTACGACGGTCGATGATATAGATACAGCAGAACTGGAGCAGGAGTTGAAGGAACTGTTGGATACACCAGCTCCACCTGGAGGTGGTACACCTGCGGCAAGGAATGATAAAGGTCAGTACCTTGTCTATTCTTGAGTTTTTGTTTTGTCTTTATAATTAGATGTCACTCTTAACTCTATCCATAAGGAATTAAAAAAAACTTAATTAGTAGTCTATGTGTTCTTCCAGACTATGTTCTACAGGGTGTCCCAAAAGGTTAGGTACATAGGAAGGGGGATGATAGGGGTGGTCACAAGGGTCACCAGAAAAATAAAACAAAAAATTCCCCTCTGGGTATTAAAAAAATAAATGTCATTTTTTAAAAACTTAAAAATTTTACACCTTCTGGGGCAATTTTAATTTTCTTTAAAATCTTTGTTTATTTTATTGTTTTTTTTATTTCATATTGATAAAGGGTTATTGACGATAACATAATAGCTTTTTTTTTAATGTAGCAATATTTGTAGGTCATCGGTTACAAAATTGCCCCAGAAGGTGTAAAATTTTTAAGTTTTTAAATAATGCCCTTTTAATTTTTTTAATACCCATAGGGGAATTACAGACACCTTCTGATAAACATCCATACATTCAAATTTTCGCATTTATAATATTAGTAAGATTCTTAAATGAAAATCAAAGCTAAAAAAAATCTCGAATCTTGTATTTTCTTCCAGACTATGTTCTATATGTATGACAAATTTCAGCAAGATTTATGTAGCCGTTCTAGAGATATCTTCTATTAGTAAGATTTATCAACATTTTTAAAACAAAAAAAGGCAACCGAAGAAAAAAAAATCTTTCCAAACTCAATTACTTCTAATATATAAGTACGGTTATTAAATTTTTAAATATTTAATGCAACAGAAAGCAATTTATCAACACCCGGACAACGTAGAAAGGAATCAGAGAGAGATTTTGTGTTTGACGGTGAAGAGAGGATGCTCGCTGAACTAGACAAGCTCAGTCTAGAAGATACCACACCAAAGAAGACAGACAAGAAACCGATTGCTGTCTCTGAAGCTGCTGATAATGGTGAGTACCAGAATATAAAACAAATTAATTAGTAACCTATATGTTCTTTCCAGACTATGTTCTGCCAAATTTCATATAAATCCGTTGAATCGTTCCGGAGATATCTTCAAACAATCATCATCAGCTCACTATATGTCCCCACTGAGGGGCTCGGAGCCTACCCTAACTTAAGGGTGATTAGGCCATAGTCAACCACAGGCCAAGTGCGGGTTGACTTCACACGTATCTTTGAATTTCTTCTCAGATATGTGCAGCATCACGATATTTTCCTTCACCGTAACATCAGATAAATGTATATATGTAAATCGGAAATGGAAAAACACATTGGTACATGGAATTTGAACCCAGGACCTGCAGATTGCAAGTCAAGTGCTTGACCACTGAGCCACCGACGCTCTTCTAACAAACATCCATGTAAACTTTGGCATTTAACATTCACATAAACCTCAAATATTCTAATAAAAACTTTCACCCCTATTGTTATTTTGCACCCTTGAGGGTAATTTTTACAAACATTGAATGTCATACGTACTACATACAAGTTTCAACCCCCACTTTCAACCCCTTACAACCCTTTTATCGCGTTAAAAAGTAACCTACGTCCTTTCCCAGGCTCTACACTATCTGTGTACCAAACTTTATTTAAATCGGTTCAGTAGCTTTTGCTTGAAAGCGAGACATACGGACAGAGTTATTTTCATATTTATAATAAAGTGAGAAAGGAACGCGATTATTTTCTCGCTTATAAAGGTTTCTCACTTATGTGTGTTTCTCGCTTTCGGAGTCTATTCTGGACAATGACTCTCGCTTGTAGAGGTTTCTCGCGTTCTCGCTCTCGGCTTGTATGAAAGCTTAAATTATACATCTATATATATAAATGAAATATAATTGTCTGTATGTAATAAAAAATACGTATAGGGAACATATGTTTATAGATAGAGACGGCATGAAATATATTTATATAATAGAGTGAGAGAGAAATATTGTGATCCAAAATCACATAAATCTATCTTCAGGCATCTCAATACCAAAAAGCACCAAACCCTCGAAGGCCTGGTATCCACCACCTGGTGACTGTCTCAAACCGGACACAGCCTGGTCTGAGAGTGGAGTGGACGCCAGTCTGAAGCGCCTGAGCGAAGGTTTCGGGGAACTGAGAATGGATCAGAGGTTACATCCAGGTAAAACCCTCGGAACTGTAGCATTTTGAACCAAAATGATCAGGTTTAACAAGTTCCATAAAAACTACGATTCTATGTGTGAAAATGAAGTCGGCAGCATTGAATGTTTACATAAGTGTATTTACTAGCTTTTTCTAGCGACTTCGTTTGTGTGAAATTAAAAAAAAATTAGCGTATATGTTACTCCAGACTCTTATCTATCTTTGACCCAAATTTCATCCAAATCCGTTGAATTATTCTGGAATTACTTAATAAATATTCATCCATCCAATTTTTTGCTTTAATAATAGGATGGAATCCTGGAGAAAATATTGGACCGTGATATTTTTCTCGCTTATAGAGGTTTCTCGCTCTTAGAGATTCTATGTCCAACAATTTTAAATTTCCAGGTCAACCCCTGGACGTGGACTTCACGACACCTCCACGTCATTACGTGACAGACTTCCAGGTGCGCGACCACAAGCGCGCGCCCGCCGGCGTCTGGCTCTACAACCACGAGGACACCAGCGCGGAGCTCGCCCCCAGCACTGAGTACATCAGGTGAGACTCACTGACTGACTAACTTCCTGATTGTCTGACTGTTCTACTGACTGACTGACTGTATGTCACCACATCACTGCCAAACCATATGATCTTTACCCTTCCAGCACTGAAAGCCCGGGTAAGACGGGCAGCAGTTTCCTGATGGCGCCCGGTGAGGGCAGAAGAAAACAGGAGACCTGGCACACTGATGAGGAGAAGACTATTGAAGACCTGGAGACGAGGCTCAACAGGCTACGTGGCTTCAATATGTAAAGGTGTAGTATATAAGTAGTTATATATATTTGACTATCTTTATATCATATACTTAAAAAAATATTTACGATTTGTGATATCATTTTATTTGGTGTATTAGTTATTGGCTTCTCTCTCTATATATATATATATATTAATAATAATTCATGTTTGTTTGTCCTCTATGTTATTCACTTACCAGAAAGATATTCATGAAATTTTTTGCTAAAATGTTCCGAAGATCCTAAAGAAGGTTTTTGGACTTAAAACATAAAAAAAGATAACGTTCTTCCTTGCAGTTTGACATTTGATATTTATTTTTGATTATTTCGACTTGAAGTTATTGATTTTTGACATTTCATAGTAGTACAGACAGACAGACTTATCTGACCCGGTGAGTATAAGCGTCTCCATGTCAATTTGTCACAAGAAATTTGTATAGACCGACAAGAATATGATACAAGAAATATGATAGCTCACTAACGCCCTCAATGAAAATCTTTCACAAGTTTTTATCATCATCGAATTGTCTTTTTATCTCTTTTATGGTATTTTCTACATTTAAATAGGTATTATCGTGTGTCTATTTAAGATAGATTGGTTTGACAATTCACTAGATATGTGTTGATTAAAATCGATTAAATTTTATCGATTTTCGATAGTTGCTCTCATAGAACTTGCAATCGATTATTTCATGTTTACTGTTTTTGAATTACAATATAAATTAAATTGTCTCTTTCTATTTTTACTTTATCTTTTATCTTTATATATATAATTCTTCTGTGAGTGTGTATGTCACTGAACTTCTCTCAAACGACTGGAGCGGTTTTGATGAAATTTTTTGTGTGTGTTCAAGGGGATCTGGGAATGGTTTAGATTCACAATTTTCATCAAATATTAACTTCATATTAATTTATTGAAATTAAAGACGTGTAGACAGGATAACGTCTGTCGGGTCCGCTAGTAACTACATAAAAAAATAAAACATTGAACCGAATATTGTAGTGTTGATAGCCAAATATCTGTGAGAAATTCAAAAATTAATATAATACCTAAGTTATAATACATATTTATTCGATTACAAGACTGTTTCTCGATAGTTCATAGTTCGTTGTTCACGTACACTCCGACACTATGACAACTGTTCATTAAGTACAACATTAATCCTCATACAAAATTAATACGATATTTTATTGATCATCATCAGCTCACTATACATCCCCAATAAGAGGCTCGGAGCCTACCCTAAGTTAAGGGTGATTAGGTCATAGTCAACCACGCTGACCAAGTGCAGTGACTTCACACATATCTTTGAATTACTTCTCAGATATGTGCAGCATCACGATGTTATCCTTCATCATAACGTCGGATAAATGTACACATGTAAATCGGAAATGGAAAAACACATTGGTACATGGCGGGATTCGAACCCAGGACCTGCAGATTGCAAGTCAAGTGCGTGACCCCTGAGCCACCGACGATCCTTCTCGAATCTTAAATAGACACACTATAACGCCTCTTACCGAGTTAGATAGGCTTGTAGATATAGAAACTAAAGATACGTAATCCGGAGAACAAGTGAAGGGAAAAGGTCTCTAAAGGCTGATATATAAACACGGCTAAACACTCACGTATATACGTCCGGTGGCGGCACCGACTAGATTCCCGATGAAGGGCCCCCGATGGGCTCGAAACTAGTCGGTGCCGCCACCGGACGTATATACGTGAGTGTTTAGCCGTGTTTATATATCAGTTTAGTATAATGTCTTACGAAAGTTTGAATAGTCTCTAAAGGCCTCTGTGTTGTCTTTTATATTATGATATTAAAAATCACGATTGAACGTCAAATTTGCATGGAATACTTCAACTAGGTTGTATATCTATGTTTTTTATGTTATAAATATATATATGTGATAAAATGTTGTATATAATAAGTTAAATATAGTCATTATATAAAAATCATAATTATTATAAAAATTATTCACATTTACATTGAATTGTAAATATTTTAAATTACAACAAATTTAAAAAAAATAACATAAAAAGAGTGATAAAAATAATAATTCGTAAGATTAGATAGTTTTATAATAAAAAAAACAGTCCAACTTGGATAAGCGAGAGTCATTTATGAACTCCATGAGCGAGAAACTCGGGTTAGAGAGAAAACTCTATGAGCGAGAAACTCGAGTCAGAGAGAAAGCTCTATAAGCGACAAACTCGGGTTAGAGAGAAACCTCTAAGCGAGAAACTCGGGTTAGAGAGAAACCTCTATAAGCCAGAAACTCGCGTTGGAGAGGAACCTCTATACGCGAGAAACTCGGGTTAGAGAGAAACCTCTATGAGCGAGATATATGTCTCTCGTTCCTTTGGTGTCTCGCTTATCCAGATTTGACTAGATATGACCATTATTCACAATATAATATGCAAGTTTTTAACTTTTAAAAAATCTGAGATAAATATGTGATCCTTTATGACACTCCCTTGAACTTATTTGACATACCCTTAAAGATGTTACCCTCCTTTTAGTCGGGCGAAACTAGCATATTACATTGTGGAGTTATTAAACGCAACAAAATGTAGTTAGATAAATAATAAAAAAATGTATAAAATCTAAAAAAAAATACGATTACAAAATATTAGTTTTTTATAATAAGAAAAAAAATATCGAAAAAAAAAATATTTTTTTACGTTTCGCCGAAATTTCGGTGTTAAAAAGTGCCTATTTTTTAAAGTAAGATTTAGTTATTTAAGTTTTGAATGTAATTATTTAAAATAGACCAAATATCCTGTCATTTGACATCTCGCTATCGGCAGATTTAAAACTCGTCAGTTTATAATCTGACGAATCAGAATAAGCTAAATGAATTTCTGGAACTTTTCTAATTGAGCTTATAGGGTTGTTTAAATGAATTTTAAGGTGTGTTTCCACTGACGACAGTTTGAAATCAGAATTTTACAAGGTTAATTTGAATTCATGATAAAATAATTTAAAGAATAAAAAATCGTAGCCTCCCTCATATCTAGAATTAGTGATTTTGTTTTTCTAAGTTTTTTCGTTTCTTAAGAGTCCGTTCACAAAGACGGGGGCGAGTAATGCAAATTTTTATTGGCAACTAGCTGTCGGTCGCGAGTCCATCCGCGTACAATTATTCGAATTTTTCTTAACTTTTAAACCTTTCCTAGACCACCACGAACATTTCAAGATCAAGATAAGATTCCGTTCAGCCGTTTTTGCGAGACTAACGAACAGCAATTGATATTTTAAAAAACTTAATTAATGTAGCCTATGTGTTCTTTCAGACTATGTTATATACGTATGCCAAAATTAATTAAGATCCGTTCAGCCGTTCTAGAGATATCTTCAAACACCCATCCATCCATCCACATCACAGCCATCTAAACATTCGCATTTATAATATTAATAAGTTAAATAAAAAGCAGTACTTCAAGGCATAAATTCGAAAAAAATCAATAAATAGTATCCTATGTCCGTCTCCTGGCTCTAAGCTACCTCCTCATCAATTTTCAGGCATATCGGTAAAGCCGTTCTTGAGTTATAAATAGTGTAACTAACACGAATTTCTTTTATATATATATATAGGTAGATAAATTGTCTTTTTTTATGTTTTGATAAAACGTGCAGAGTAAAATGAAACTTTATTCCAAAGGTATAAAGCTTAATTTTATTTGCCACACTATTCGCTCCGGTCTTTTTAAACGAATCTTTTCGAGTTTTAATATATACTAATATTATAATGCGGGAGAGTTTGTTTGTTTAAACGCGCTAATCTCATGAACTACTGGTCCGATTTGAAAAATTCTGTGTTTAATGGATAGTTCATTTATAGAGGAAGGCTTAAGGCTATATAACATTACGCTGCGACCAATAGTTTTTTTTTAATCTCGCGCGGAAATAAAACTTTTTTGGAATTAAAGTCGAAAACGAAAAGAAATTCCCATTGAATCGGCCAAATTAATTCGTATGACAAGTTATTTTATTTGAAAAAAAAATGATTTTCATATAACGTCTTGTTAGTGGAAATACATATTAAGGTAATTAATAATATTTATAAGTAAATAGGTTTGTTCCTATTTTATATCAAGACATTTGTTCAGAATGACAAGTAATTTCAACCGCTTTGTCAAAGTCAAATTGAATTTTGACAGCTCACTAACGCTCCACTGTCATTGTCAAAAATGTCACAGTCCTTTGTCGTATTCTATTCGTCTTGTTTTTTTTCTTTTATGGCGTTTTCTGACAAAACTAAACGCGATAGTAGCGCCTCTTAATGATAACTACAAAAATTGTTATTTTTATATTTAACAACGTAATAATAAGGTCAAATGTATCCTGAATAATTTTATTTTAATATTTTGTCAATCATCTATAAATCTAATAGTGTTTTGAGTTTTATAATACCATACACGGACTGAAATGAAACTGATTAATGCCTAAATTGCAGTTCGTGTATAGCAAATGTCTTCACACGAATTATTAAGACAGTTCGTTTATTTATCATATTCATGGACTTTTACTTTGACCATTAAACTGTTTAAAAATACGTTTTTTTTTACATATTGTGTTATTTGTCAATGATGCAAGAAATTTACTCATCTCTATAAATGGACAGGCGATTTTTTAGAAATTACAGCTTTTACTAAATTCCGATTTAAACGCGTACGTTCATGTTACGTGACAATTCTATCTATATTATTAGTTCCAATTTACGCCACCGTTACAATCCGCAACCATCAGCGCCAAAATGGCGGATATCAAACAGTCACAAAATACAACGTCTTATAACCAGTCCATTTATAGAGATCAAAGTTTGATTGCTTTAAAAAATTATGTAACTTAGTTTGTAAATTTGTATATATTAAATAACGTAACGTGCCAAAATGTCTTTTTTTATTATTGTCATGTAGTTTTAAGTTTTTTCACCATGTTTATTCATTTTTTTTTATCAATAAACCTTAAACGCCGGATCTATTTGTTTTATTTTCTAATTCAGATATTTTAATGCCCTTTTTTAATGCTGGTAACATTAATAATAATAAAAATTGGCTTAAAACACTAATGTGTTAAAGCCAAAAACATAAAAAAATAAAAATTGTATTTTTAATTTGTAGTAAAACAACAAATTCAATTTTTTTAATATTTATTTTGTACGGCAACCAATAAATCTTACAGTATAGTGCCACAACACCGCTTGAGAGCAGCCGTCTCGCTCGCACACACCGCGCTAGAGCGAGACACCATGCTTATATTTACAAATTGCATATTAGAAAAAACATAACCTAAAAAAAAACTATTACCAACTAAAATTTAGCTAAATCTTATTATAATCTATAGGAAAGTCGTATTTTTAAAAACTAATATTTACAAAAAAACACATGAAAAGGAATTAATTGTTCCCATATCCCCCCCCCCCCCACTAACTAAACGCGCGAAATTCGTTAAAAAACGCGCCATTTTCCTCGTATCACATAATTATAGCCCGTTGTACATTTAAAAATACAAGAAAATAACAATTTAAATAAAGATTTTTAGGCAAATGTTCAATATTTTCATTTTAAGACAATTTTATTTAATATTATAACAATTTTATATATAATATAATACATAATTGACCATAAATTTCGTGAAATAAATTCAGTGAAAAAAAAAAAACTTTTTTTTTCATAATAATAAATGGGTAAAAAATGAAATAAAACCAAAAAAATATTAACAACGGGCTCTTAGACTAGAGATAAATTTAATTTTTCGTTGTTGGAGTTCCTATATTCAGTAGACCGGTGTATCCTCGGAACTGACTCGCCATCAGGTCCCGGTAGACCGCCAGCTGCCTCTGATCCATCTGTCCCAAGCTGCTGTACAACGCACTCATATAAACTGGATCCATGAATGGCACCGCCATTGGTGGCATTGATGATTTCTGGAGTTCCATCATTTGAGCTAAGCTGGGACTCTTCATAGACAGATTTGAGTCTCTGGAACCAGTTGAACTTGGAGACGTGTCATCTCTGGTGTGGTACGTGGGTATTGTGATTGGGTTCTTCTTAGCTGGTGACTGGTAAGGTTTTGGATACTCTTTGGGTGGTGTTGGAGTCTTCGCGGACATGAATTTGCCGTTAGAAGACCGTTTTTGTGGTGGTCTTTTCGGTGGGGTCTGATGGGGGGATTTGGGATTGACTAGAGTGATTTCTAAATTTGAGCCGACGACAGCTTTGCCGTCGAGTAAAGTGTAATTTTTGGATAGATTTTGTGGTGTCGGTGCTTTGGGGGGCGATGTTGGTACTCTGACAATTTCTACGGCAGGTTTGTTGGGGGTCTGGGGGGTC